ATCGGTTTGGTATCACACAAGCTAGACCTACTCCGCGAACTCAGTAACGTACATTTTACCCTTCTCGTCTCGATCTTGAAACCGTACCTTTCCGACAGGACTCTCGTAATTCCACTTAACGAGATCGAGATTTAACAAGATACCAACCTTTGTGAAAGAGCCGTAGTGACCCTCGACAAAGAGGTCAAACGGACAAAGCAACGCCATCGCCCGTTAGTGAAGGTTCGTTGGGATACCAACAGTGGACCCGATTTCACTTAGGAGAGCGAGAACCAATCGCTTAGGAAGTTCCCAACTCATGACTCGATCATTCACACCTACTTCCTTACCTAAATTCTAATTTTGGGACGAAATTCCCTTTAACAGGGGGATGATGTGACAACCTGAAATTTCCATTCTGTACAAACCATATCAAGTCAATAGAAGTTAGAACAGTTACAGTTAAGTTCCAAACTTTTAGGTATAAGTTTGACAGTTTTTCAGGATTTACACTTAAAGAGATATTAGGAGAGTGGATGCACTAGGGTTTTGTGCAACACTGTTATTCCGAAACTCTATGATATTAGAGTTCATTTCGGGAATAAAATATTTTCTGCCAAAAATCTCAGGACTATATATAGAAATCTGAGCCATATTTATTCATTAGTTCCATTTCCAACTAGAGAAAAGTTGAATCCTCTCTCAAGGATCTTCAGACTTTCGTTCCGGAAAGTGAGTACTTCTATCTAGTGTTGTTTTAAAGTTAATATATGCTTAATGCACTAGAAATCATAGGAAAACACTAAGATCTAAGAGTTTACCGCCCAAGAACACCTTGGGGAGTAAACTCTTTTATAAGGGCCTAAGTGTGCCCAATGTCCCTCCAAGCCTTGGAACTAAACCTAGAAACTACCATGACATGTTTAGACCACAAAATCATTAAGAAACAAAGACTAGAAGTGAGTTCACGGCCAAGGATGTTCTTGGGCCGTGAACTCCATTTTAATGTGTCAAAATGCCCTAAAAGCTTTCCTTGAGCAAAGAGACAAGTTTAGACATGTACCCTAATGTGTATAGGATTAGCAAATACCATTAGAACACCAAGAGTAAGGTGTTCACGGCCCAAGAAGTTCCAGGTCCGTGAACTCCAAACAATAGGGCCAAAAGGTGTTATAACCTCTTTTAAAGCCTTGTACACTAGCCTAGTTTAGTTCTTAGTTAAATTAGGGACTTGAAAACACCACAAACACCCTTCCAAGGGATATTACGACCGTAATCTCCATGGGATTTGGTCCTAGGGACGTGAACTCCTAAAAGGAGTTATATAATGCCCTAAACCCTTCCATAGACCAAGCCATTAAGTAGAAATGCTTCTTAGGGTCTTGTAGAGCATCAAACACAAATTGGTCAGATATGTATGATCTTACGGCCGTAAACTCATGAGTTTACGACCGTAAACTCATTTGGTAGTGTCATTAGGGCCGTGAACTTCATGGTGGAGTTTTCCTTGAGCCCTACACACAATAGCTTTTCCCTACAACACTTAGCTGCAATCCTAGAGGCTAATAACACTTGATAAAGGTGTTTAGCATGTCCTAGGGTGTCTTGACTTGTTTATTAGTTGTTTGTCGACTAATTTGTTACATATATGTGATATTATATGTTAAATAGGATCATAGAGTGTGTTCAAGACTTCACTTGACACCTAGCAATCCTACATCTTCAGTTCATCCGTACCACTCACAACACGTGAGTTCATACCCCTTAGTCAATGTTTTAAATGTTTTATCAGGGGAGGATACAAGTAGAATCATGCTAGTTATTATATCAATCACATGTGATTAATAAGCAGCATTCAAATGATTTACTACACATTAGTTGTTTTACCAAACAGTTGTTATTTAAAGGATTTTCATATATGTTTTATATGTTTAAAACTCCTGATTTAATTGTTCATTATACACTGTATGTTTCATTTCAAACTCGTTTACAATTGTGTTTCAAACAAATGTTTCTTTGTATTTAAAACTGTTTTGTTAGATAAATACCTCCAACACGTTTTATAGATTGACATTAAGTTGATCTTTTCTTAGATAGTAATCCTGTTCAAAAGGTTTTACAAAACTTATTTTATGCTTTTATATTGTCAATTACATGCCTATATATGTATGGTTATATAAGAAATGTTTAAAGAACTTAGGAAGGCTATCCACCCTATTTCCTTTTCGCGCCTGAGATGTGGTCTGGTGGGATATCGGGTACCCGTCCGAAGGTCGTTTAAATATTAGTTATATATCATGTGTACATATATAGTCATAAAGGTTCTTCCAGTTCATTCAATACCCTTGGGTAGCAAGGGTATACATCCATGTTCATACGTACCAGTTACATTACTAGTAAGCTACCATAGGGGTAGTTCGGGAAAATACTAGAACTATTACTAGTACACGACATCATACAATGAGTCAGTCCATTTATGAGTCAATACTTGCTAGATAGAGAGAGAACATACATTACAGCTAGTACACACAGTACATTACTATACATGCTAGATAGAGAGAACATACATTACAGCTAGTACATATAGTACATTACTATACATGCTAGATAAAGAGAACATACATTACAGCTAGCACAGGCAGAACATTTCAGTACATACAGGCTAGACAGATAAAGATTTCACTTTCAGTTAGCACATTCATTGCATATACATTTATGCAGTTATGTGAACCATTGGGCGGGTCATGGCACTTCCTGCCATGACCGCTCTCGTATCCCGAATCTCCTTAATTGGGGAGCGTATGAGTTTGCTTATAGATCTATACTGGATTGACTATCCTACACCTTACTGCTCGCTACAGTGGGACTTGCAAGTCTACGGGTGCCAAATGTCATTTGTTACGGCATCTTACATCGTCGTTTTACTAGAGTCGGTAGCAGGATACAGGTCGATCACATGTTATATTGAATACCTTTTTGTTATAAGGTAGTTAGTACAGCTGTAGTCACTTATTACAAATACTACAGTACTTTCAAGATTTCAATAAACTTAAGGTAGTTAGTACGGTTGTAGTTATTTGATTCTACATCATAGTACTATTTCATTTTCCCATTACATTCACTTCGTGAACCTTCACACGATGCACGGTAATGTAGAAACTATATTTTTGGTTAATGATAGTCAGATTTGGGAAAATACACACTCTTACAAGAGACACACACATGGATACTAGATGCCTTGGTAGAAGGATACAGTTAGTAGGAAACATAGGGTTTTCTAGGATGTTCATTTACATACAAATTCTTACAGTTCATTTACATACAAATACTTATAGTTCATTCGTACAAATACTTACATTTCAAACACATACAAGTACTTACATACAAATAAGACACTAAAATGCTTATGATCTCACCAGCTTTAAAGCTGATACTCGCTTTCAAAATAACTTGTATCCTCAGGTCAACCATAGACAGGTATCGATGCAAGGTTTTAGAGAAGATGGTGCTCGTTCAAGACTCATCTTTCATTTTGATTTATACTTTAGTGTCTATTATAATTTGATAGAACACACTTGTATTAAAATTATATTATTAATGCAATGGATGATGTTGTTGCTTGTTTACTACTTTTCATTGTTGTGATACTGTACATGACGTCCTCCGCCACAGAACATTTCCGTCGTTCAATGGTTTTGGGGTGTGACATATTATGGGAAGAACATTCCAATTCTCAGTTTTTGACTTAGTTTAGGATTCCAACAATGACAACATTCATTCATGATTCAACATTCAAGATTTCAAGTATTCTATTAATCATTGAATGATTGAATCAATAATTTGACCCAGGGGTATTTTGGGAAGAACGTTCCAATTTTCAGTTTCTGACTTAGTTTAGGATTCCAACAACTACAACATTCATTCATGATTCAACATTCATGATTTCAAGTATTCAAGAATCAAGAATCAAGATTTCAAGGAAAACTGATAATGATAAATGATAAAACATTAAAACTGATAAAAACTAAATATGTCAATATAATGTAATTGATAATGATAATTGTCTAATTATCTAATTGATAAACTGTAAAATTAAATTTGATATAATTGTTTATCTGATTGAGTAATTGTCAGCCTGATTAGACAATTAGTGATTTCAGAATACTATTAAAACCGCCTGCTACCCTTGAATGTTGTTGTCGTTGTTGTTTGTGTGTCTCGCGGAGGCTGAGTTGTCGATCTCCTCTGATGTTGTTGTCGTTGCTGAGTTGTTGTGTCGCTTAGAGGAATAGAGGCTTAGAGCAGAATTGCAGAAGGAGAATTAGTGAATAACAATTTACGAATTGCCGAATTAGTTTTATCACATGGCTGCTCATGCCGACTTATGTCTTTGGTGATCCATTAGCAGACTACTTATTATATTTTACATTGGCTCTACTTTGGGTCAAAACTGATATAATATATTATTACTAGAAAAATATAAAATTTTGGCCATGTGCACGGTTGCACAGCCTCATCACCGGCACTCTTAGATGACATTAGCGAACGATATTGTTTTTATAAATTTATTCAACGAGTACATTTATATAATGATTAATTGTAAAGTTATGAATATAATCTTGTTAATTTACCAGCTCATGCAACTTAGGTTTGGGTCACATATCTAATATAAATAAATCTATTAATTTTTTCACTTCATTAGACATTTTTATCATTTTATATAAGATGTTGCTGAAAATGATTAAAAAAGGGATTTGTTGATAGTTTTACTACGTTCACATAAAAAAACGTACGCTGCATTTCGGTAAAATGATGAAACATTGCATTATTTATTATTATTATTATTATTATTATTATTATTATTATTTGTAAATGACTCTTTAAAAGACGAGAAGACTAAGCCTACTTGCAATTATTACATGGCAGCATTTTACTGGTTCAACTACCCCATAACCATGCAAGTCATCTAACGGCTTCTTCATCTTCACAACGAAACGCTAGAAAGCTCTCTTGATCTAGAAATGGTGATTTCTGCAAAACCAATTACGATTCTACTCCTGCTACTAACAATCACACATATCTTCCTCTCTACGCCTTATTCCTCTTCCGCCGCAGCCGCCAATATAGTCTCCGACCTGCACTCCCTACAATCACAGTTCCCTTCCGGCATCATTCACCTCAACGAAACTATTCTCTACAGAATTTTCAATTCCGGCGCCAGATCTTTCTACGTGATCATCTTCTTCGATGCTATCCAACTCCACGATAAACCAGAACCAAATCTCAAAACAATCAAATCCGAATACGCCCTAATCGCCAAATCCTTCTCCATCAACAACCAAAACTCCTCAAATCTTTCCAAAATCTTCTTCTGCGATATCGAATTCAGTGAATCTGAAAAGGACTTCCTCCGATTCGGTATACACGCATTACCTAACATCCGAATCGTCCCCCCTGATGCTGACGATTTAAAATCCGATTCAATCCCTTTGGACGTCTCAGAGTCCTCCAATTTAGCCGAATCCATGGCGGGTTTTATCGAATCCAAAACTGGATTATCAATCGGCCGAATCCACAGGCCCCCAATTATTTCCAAATCACAATTAGGGTTTCTAATTGCGGGGTTACTGATATCGATGCCATTCCTGACGAAGAAAATATTAGCAGGTGAGACTCCTTTTCATCACAAGAGGATTTGGATGTTTGGTATTATGTTTGTCTACTTCTTCAGCGTTTCGGGTACTATGTTCATCTTGATTCGCAAAGTACCTTTGTTTGTTATGGATAGAAAGGATCCGAATAGGTTGATTTTCTTCTATAAGGGTGTTGGGATGCAGTTTGGTGTTGAAGGTTTGTATGTAGGATTTTTGTTCATGACTGTAGGGTTGTTGTTACCTTTCATAACTCGAGTTATTGTTAGGATAAAGGATTCAATGATACAAAGAGCAACCATGGTTAGTGCGATGATTGTTTCGTTTTGGGCAGTAAAAGAAGTTGTGGGGTTGAATCATTGGAAGACGGGTTATCATGCTCATGCTTATTTGCCTTCAAATTGGTATAATTAAGTGGTTGTATATGCTAGTTATCTGCTTATGAGCTTCCATTAATAACCATGGTTGCAACATCTTGATGATAAATTATATTTTATCAAGATTCTAGTTTTAAAGAAGTGTGTTTTGGTGGTTGCTTTGATGAATTATTGTTTTATGATCTGGGTGAACTTAATTAATAACCTATCTTGTAAACGTTACTATCCAACTATTTGCGGATTTCGGACATCAATAATCAATTTTGAATGATGTAGAATAATCTTGTGGTATAAATTGTAGAAAAAGGGTAAAGTAAAATTTAATAATCTGCTGATATTATTTGTAGAAAAACTGTAAAGTAAAATTATATATATGTAATTAAGACAAAATCACAATATAGAATTACACGATTGTTCCGTTTGGTTTGTTAAAACCCGTACGGTGATGAAAACTATCAAAACATCTATGCATTTAACTATTAATCCACATGGTTTTGTTTTTGTTGCATTGGTGGTTATTCAAATGGTAAATCTATATTTGAGTTGTTACCTTTTGTAAAATAACCAATATGTCCTTAGAGATGTCAAATGAGAGAGACATTAACGGGTGAAGAATGAAGATGGGATTGGGTGTTAATATTATAAAATAAAGAACAATTAAAAAAAATTATAAATGTAAAAATGTCATTTTATAAACATGCAATACTTCATTATTAACGGTGTTAACGATTAGTCAAAAGGACGAATTATACAATAAAATAAAATGTAACGTCTGTAGATCCGGGCTAGTTAATTTTGACACGACAAACATCAAAAATAACTTTTTGATGAAAGATTATTTAGAAGGATTAATCTTAAACAAATTGTTGTATATGTCACAAGGTTTCCGTGCATATAAAGAACGCCAACATCCGAGTTATAACAAAGAAGTTATGACATGTCAAAGTTTCGCGACAGAACAGGCACGACCCAGCGCGACATAAATAGTGAATTCAAGGTAGATAGATATCTATCCTTAGTGATCTAAACGAGAGTCGAAGATGTCTTCAATAGTAGTCCAACGATAAAAAGACAAACGAAAACGGAGTTTAGATGAAGGAGTTATGAATTTCGAACGGAGTTTTCCTGTCCTGGCCTACTAAAGATAATATATAAGTAATATATTTATAATATATTAAAAATAAAATCAAAATTAGCCAATAGAGTCTAAACGAGAGTTGTAGAGCATAATCTCACCTACGCGTCGATATAAAGAACGTCGAAAATGGAGTTCGTATGCGAAAGTTATGAATTTCTGAAGTTCGGGGTGCGAAACCCCAAAACTGTCAGATACCACGACGTGGCAAGTCTACTGACACCTCCGGGAGTCCGCCATATGCAACTTGCGATGACGCATGCAGTGATGACCAAGCCCACGATGTGGAAAAATGTGCCACGACGTGACAAGGGCAGATTCTGCCCTATTAATATATTTGAAGGGCCAGCCAAAGTTGGTTGCGCATTCTCTCATCTCTCACCCATATTATCTCGATTTACATGAAAAGAAGTACCCCCGAAGCCCCGGTATCATTTCCGAGCCCCGAAGCAAGTCCCGAAGCCTTGAAGATCCTGAGAAGTGCGATTCCCGAGCCGAAGCTCTGCCCGCGAGAAGCCAATTTTTTTGTGAAGATCTTCCAGATCTACCGAAGAATACTTCTTCTACAAGTCGTAGTGTTGTCCGATCATCTTCTAATCAAGTAAGTGTGTGGTTACTTTCTTCTAACACATAAATACTAAGTATTTGCTATGAAATACGTGCTATGTGTATAATATAAAGTTGTTTATATGTGTGAGTGTATAGTCCCTTTCATAAACACGATAATAATACAAATATTGTTTGAATGTATTAAGTATATCGTTGTTTATATGTGTGAGTGTGTGGTTACTTTCTTCTAACGCATAGATATGAAGTATTTGCTAAGAAATACGTGTTATGTGTTTATACATTGTTTGCTTATTTGAGATGAGTGTGGAATGGACGTTTTATATAGTTTTTAAATGAGTTAAACTGTATATGTATTTTATATTTACGAATATGTTGGGTAGAACATAGGTAGATGAGATAGTTGGTATGTGATAAAATGAGGAGGTATGAAAGATGCTTAAGAATAATATTGGTAGATGCACCAATTAGAGAATGTCATAATACTAGCAGATGCACTTATAGGATAATCCTGGCAGATGCGCTTATAGGATAATGTCGGCAGATGCACCTAAAAGAGAATGTCATAAACCTGACAGTCGCACCTCATAGTGTATGACGTAATCCTGGCAGAGATGCTTAAAGGATGATGTTGGTAAATGTGCCTTATGTAGCAATAGATTTTGTGCCAATTCCTTAGGTCAATCCTTAGGAATGAATGGATGACGGGTAGTTGAATTCTTAGGGTAAAATCCTAAGAAATAAAGAAGATAATGGGGATGGGTAATTGGATTAATTGTTTGATGGTTGAATATAATAATTATATTATTGTGGGTCGAAAACCCTATATGCTCACCAGGCTCCCAAGCCTGAACCACTCAGTTTTCTTTGTATCACAGGTATCAATATGAAGACATATTTTACTGAGAGATTAAAAGAGATGTAAATCATTAGTGTCAATAAATGTAAGTTTTGTTTATGCTTATGTATCTGTATCGGAACATGACATCCTGAGATTTTGTTATATAATGAAAATAGATTTCTATAAAGGAATGCTTTGATAAATTCTTATCATATTTTGTTTTGGGAACAAATTCCGCAACTGTTTTCTTTAAAAGATTACTCTGATTTTAAAAACAAAGCATAAACAACTCGGTCTTTTTTGGCCGTGAAATTGGGGATGTCACAGTTGGTATCAGAGCATTAGTTTAAGCAAACTAGGAATTTGTAGGAAATTTCTAGACTTAAACTTAGAATGCTAAGTAATAATCGTGAGGAGTGTGTCTAAAATATGTTAGGTAGTACACCTAAATTGACACATGCACTAGTTTATTTTAGGAATGATGCCTAAAATGCTTTTATGTGCTAATTATTTTGTGTGATAGCTAAATTGATGCTATTATTTGTTCGGATCTATGGAATGTTGCCGACCGGATCTAGAAACCTTATGTGTATAGGATTCTAAGTGTATGACTACAATATTAGAACTAGCATGTAAACGTTTCGGAGTGATAAGGAGATTGATACGTTTATCGTAGTTAAAGCTTTTTTATCTTAAATTCTCGCTTGGTACACCGAATGTCCGCTTGGATGTACAAGAGGTCATGGTGAAGACTCGTAGAGAAATTGAGTAAATGGAGAAATGAAGAAGGCTTATGACAATGGATGACACCTATCAAAAGATATCGTAAGAGTGGTATCTTGCCTTTAGAGTATCTCTTATGAAATAACAGTACGTTTAGAGGAGTATGGTACATCTGAAGTACACTTTCGATTGGCAGGATGATGGAACGATTGATGAAATTCTTGAAGTTGTCTTATCGTCTGGTATTTCCATCACCAATCAAGTTGAAGTAGAGTTGATGATTGAAGATTGAGCAATGAAGAAGTCTTAGTAGAGTCTAGGGAAATTGTTTATGATTATTTGACATATTCGTATGTGTTAAATTGTTTTGTGATTTTCTTGTATGGTGACTTGGTCGACTGTGGGACAATACTGGGGACGAGTATGAGTAGGTGTGAAAGGTAGTAGATGCATATACTACCGGAAGCACAGGACTCGCACTTGGATCAGGGAAAGTCACAAGGTTACCAAGAAGCTAGTAATTGATTTTGTTGTGTTCAAGTGTGTCATTACCCTTGTTTCGGTAGTGACTAGTAAGATGGTTGTTATTCCGACCCTAGTGGTCATATCAAATTGAGTCCGACTACGAGGAGTTTGTTACGTGGTTCATAGAACCAAGTTCGAGGTAGCATCTGAATCAAGTCATAAGATTGAAATCAATGTGATTGATAGTGTCGCGCTCGTTAAAAAAAAGGAGTTTGTAGCTAGGCATGCTACATGTTAAAAATGGGATTATATCACATTAGAATATGAAGGAAGGTATATTCCATTCTGGAATTTGACTCTAAGAGACTTGAGTCTAAGCGTTGAATTATACGATGAGAGGTCATTAGAACATGACCCATCGATCTATTGCAATAGATGAATGAAAGTACTTATCCTAAGAAGAAGAAGGAGTCCTCAATAAGGATTTATTTTGTAACTCGGAAGTTATGATTGAAAGTACAACATACTACGATAAGCAAATGCAAGATTGGGCATCGTCTGCGGTCAAGAAAGCCATAAAGCTAAATACTCTTTAGAGGAAACATAGTATTTACAGTTATTACCTAGGATGAAGAGATAACGTGTGGAATCATTATGCAAGACCTATTTCGTTGATGATTTCGGGACGTAATCATCCTAAGGGGGAGATAATTGTAACGCCCGTAGATCCGAGCTAGTTAATTTAGAAACAAAAAACATCAAAAATGACTTTTTGATGAAAGATTATTTAGAAGGATTAATCTTAACCAAGTTTTTGTATATGTCACAAGGTTTCCGTGCATATAAAGAACGCCAAAATCCGAGTTATAACGAAGAAGTTATGACCTGTCAAAGTTTCGCGACAGAACAGGCACGACCCAGCGCGATGTAAATAGTGAATTCAAGGTAGATAGATATCTATCCTTAGTGATCTAAACGAGAGTCGAAGATGTATTCGATAGTAGTCCAATGATAAAAAGACAAACGAAAACGGAGTTTAGATGAAGGAGTTATGAATTTCGAACGGAGTTTTCCTGTCCTGGCCTACTAAAGATAATATATAAGTAATATATTTATAATATATTAAAATTAAAATCAAAATTAGCCAATGGAGTCTAAATGAGAGTTGTAGAGCATAATCTCACCTACGCGTCGATATAAAGAACGTCGAAAACGGAGTTCGTATGCGAAAGTTATGAATTTCTGAAGTTCGGGGTGCGAAACCCCAAAATTGTCAGATACCACGACGTGGCAAGCAGTTCCACGA